AGGCCATCATGCCGAGAGTCTAAGTAGTGACCGCAGACGGGAAGGAGATCCGAGCGCTCCTCGACCGACCACTGGTGAGTTTTAGTACTTACACTTTTCTGAGTTATGTCTGCTGTCTATTGTTTGTGTTCTGTTAAGTGTCTTAGCATTCTAGGGGTTGAATGTGTAGAGACCTTATTAATGGGTGAGGTAGAGACCCATGTTCTGTTTGACTCTGGAGCGAGTCATTGTTTTGTGAATCCAGAGATGATTGGAAAGGGAGAATTCCAGAAGGAACCCGAAGAGGATTTCTGATTAGTGAGGGCGGCCAGAGGCCAAGTGATATATTCACTATGAATGATTAAAAACATTTATGTCTGGACTGGCGAAGTTGATATGCTAGCAGATTTGGTGATTTTGCAATGTGAAGTCTTATGATGTCATCCTCGGGATGGATTGGCTCAGTAGGTATAAGACGCATCTGGATTGCCACCGTGGAAGGGTGAGGTTCGAAAGTGATGACGAGGTTCTGGTGTATCAAGAAACAAGACCGACTTCTGGTAGCTTGCTTGTGTCAGTAATACAAGCGGAACGTCTGATAGAGAAAGGATATGAGGCATACCTGGTGACGATATCTATAGATGAGGTTGGACCGGATGTGGAGTTAGGAGATATTCCAGTGGTACAGGAGTTTGAGGACATTTTCCAAGATTTGTCTGGAATGCCACCGGCTCGTTCAGATCCATTCACGATTGAAATTGAACCGAGGACGGCTCCGATATCTAAAGCACCATACCGAATGGCACCGGCCGAGATGACTGAACTGAAGAAGCAACTTGCTGAACTTTTGGACAAAGGTTATGTAAGGCCAAGCAGTTCACCATGGGGCGCACATGTTCTGTTCATAAAGAAGAAGGATGGAAGTTTCAGGCTTTGCATTGACTACCGAGGGTTGTACCGTGTAACCTTGAAGAACAGTTATCCACTTCCAAGGATGGACGAGTTGTTGGACCAGCTCAGGGGTGCTACTTGGTTCTCGAAGATTGATTTGGCTTTTGGGTATCATCATATACCAATAGACGAATCGGACGTTCGGAAGACTGCTTTTAGGACAAGGTATGATCATTACGTGTTTGTGGTCATGCCGTTTGGTTTGACGAATGCGCCAGCTGCATTCGTGAAGCTGATGAATGGCGTGTTCAGGAAGTACTTGGATGAGTTTGTGACTATTTTCATAGACGATATCTTGGTTTATTCGAAGAGTCCGGAAGAGCATGAGAAGCATTTGCGGATTGTTCTGGAGAAGTTGCGAGAACAGAAGTTGTTTGCTAAGTTGAGTAAGTGTAGCTTCTGGAAACGGCATATTGGTTTCTTAGGTCATATTTTATCAGACAAGGGAGTGTTCGTGGATTCTGAAAAGATCAAGGCTATTGCGGATTGGCCGAGACCTGAGAATGCGCCTGAGATAAGAAGTTTTCTGGGATTGGCTGGCTATTACAGCCGCCATATCCAAGTCATGCCTAGGATAGTTCACCTCATGCTTCCTTAGCTGTCTTGATGCATACGCAATCACATTCCCATGCTGCATTAGGACACAACCTAGTCCTTTTCTAGAAGCGTTAAAGATATGGCGATCTTACTTGTATGGTGGGAAAGTTCAGGTGTTTACCACTCAACCTGAGTTGAATCTGAGGCAACGAAGATGGTACCTGACAACGACTTAGATATAGCTTATCATCCGGGAAAGGCTAATCTCGTTGCTGATGCATTACGCCGGGAGGAGGGTTAGTATCATCTGCAAAGGAAGTGGAAGGAGTTGTAAATCTCCTAAGGACGTTAAGGTTAAACGTTATATCTGAAGAACTGGAACCGTTGGGGTTGGGAGCTGCGGATCAAGCTGACTTGTTAACAAGGATTCGTTTGGCTCAAGAGGAGGATGAGAATCTGAATAAGATGTCACAAAGTGACAAGACCGAGTATCAAACTTCCAAGAATAGGATGATTGTTGTGAATGGCAGAGTGTGTGTTCCTAACGTGAAAGAGTTATAGGAGGAAATTTTAAGGGAAGCATATCAGTCGAGGTTTTCTGTGCATCCGGTAATGACCAAGATGTACCACGATCTGAAAAGGTACTATCATTGGTTTGGGATGAAGTGGGACGTAGCTAAGTGGGTAGCTAGCTATCTGATATGCCATTTGGTTAAGGCTGAGAATTAGGTTCCGAGTGGTTTGTTGCAAACATTACCAATGCCGGAATGGAAATGGTATATGATCACAATGGATTTTGTTTTGGGTTTACCGAGGTCTCTGAAAAAGCATGATGTGATTTGGATCATTGTTGATAGGCTGACCAAGCCTGCTCATTTCTTGCCTATGAGGAAAATGGATGGAGTGGCTAGACTGGTGGAGTTGTATGCCGATGAGATCGTCAGGCTTCATGGAGTGTCTGCAAGCATTGTGTCTGATCGTGATCCGAAGTTTACTTTACGATTCAGGAAAAAAATTCAGAAAGAGTTTGGGATGAAGGTGCATATGAGTACTGCATATCATCCGCAAAAGGATGGTCAATCTGACAGGACTATCAGGACGTTAGAGGACATGCTGAGAGCGTGTGTACTGGACTGGGGTGGTAACTGGGAAAGTTATCTACCATTGGCTGAGTTCGCGTATAACAACAGTTACCATAGGAGAATTTCCAAATCATCGCTCAATTTTATTAGAAAGATGAAAACCTAATTACATATAAGATGAAGAAAAAACAAAAGTACAACCGACTTTGGTGCCGGCGCTAGCCGGTGATTGTGTCAAAAGAAAAAGTTTGTTATTTTACCTTTAGAGTCACTTTTTGGAGAGAGAGAGAAAAACGGTTATTTGAGACTTGTAACAAACATTACACATATATGTATGAATTTATATATACTTTCTGATTAATGCGATGGTATAATTGTCTGAATAGTGTTTATTAAGCTCTTGGTTAATGTAATGCCATGATGAATGAGGTAAAAGTTATAATATTTTTTTGTATAGATAATGTTGTATTCTTGACGGAATAGACGTGTGATTTTGAGTTGGAATTTGTAAATAATTACACATGCATTAGCTTGAGAGGAAGGTTGTTGATGGATTTATCTGCTTTGATGATATTTAAGAACTGATCTAAAATGAGATAAGTAACAAAAGGTTTAGCTAGCTTAATCAATGCGCAAGGTTAATGGCACATGCTATAACTTCGACTCCAAAAATTTCTTAGCAGGTACTCTTATGTGGGTTTTTTCGAGGTAAATATATTATTACTTATTTTTTAATTAATGTTTTTTCAGTATTTTGTCATGTACTAACTAAAAGCCTTTTTACAGTTTTCTTTTTTCTTGGATTTTGTTCAAATCTTAAACTAGTTCATGTTTCTCTCTTCTTTTTCTTTTTTTTTTGACGAAAATTCTTTCTCTTTTTTTTCATGTTCCTATTTTCTTTATCTCTCATCATGATAATTTTGGTGTTTTATTTTAACTTCCAAAAAACCATATAATCTAAATGCATCTACTGTTCTTTTCAATTTTTTTTTATTTCAAAGTCTTTGGTTTTGTAAAGTGTTCCCTTTTTAGGCTATGGGTGCCAAACGATATCAAAGAATCTACATTTTCTGATGAGCTTTGTGCCATCTAAAACTATTTTGTTTTTCTTTCTGAACTTCCAGCAAATATGTTATCAATTCATTTGTAATGATCCATTAAATTAGATGAATTGAGCTTGTTGTCGTAAATATCACACATCACTATGTAGACATTAACTTATATCTTCTTTTCGATAAGGACAAAACAATTCATTAAGATTGAGCGTGATTCTCTCCTATTATGCCATTTCTTTGTGTTCTTCTTACGTAACCGACATAAAGCCATCAAGCAAACAATGAAAAAATACATCACACAACCAATGGCTTCCTCTTCTTCTCCTCTATGCTTTATATTCATCTCCATTGTCTTCACCGTCCAACATTACCTATCTATCCTTCCTCACACACAAAAAATGGTTTATCCAACGTCAACTCTTGTGCTGGTGGCTTCTGTGTGTAATCATGTAATAGAGAAACAGGCAAGATATTCCACAGAGAACATATCACACAATATTAGTATTAGCCACTAAAATAAGCAAAAGTAGATACCAATTGAGGAAAAACATTCTCAGCTATGCGTGTAGGAACAGAAAACCCTCCGCATGTACGTAATGTCAAGTGAATCGTGTAATTACTAGGTTGCTCGCTCGGGATTCCCAACTCAATCGATACAAATCTATCCTTCAGCTCCTCATAATTCCCTCAAGGCAGTAACTATTAGTAATTAAAACAAATTCATTTTAATTTAACTAGCCCAAAATTACATTCAACTGAACCAAACAAATTGTTTTCAATTTTTCAATAAACAGATAAAAGTGAAAATCAAAAATACATAACCCTAAAACCCCTAATCTCCATCCCATTCAATTTCAAAACTCATTTTGTCTAAAAAGAGCATAAGGTTTACAGCTGAACACATTACTTGTTTGGTCAATTCGAGACTACAAAACAAACATAATACATAGACGATAAAAGGACTCTTTGTCTTGAGAATATTATAGACTTAGAGTGAAAAAGCCTCACACTGGTCTCACCATATAAATTTCAACAATCACTAAGAACAACACGCTATAGAAGAAGGAAAAAATAAAGAAAGGAGGAAGCTTTACCCAGTCTTACAGTTTACAAAAGGAAAGGAAATGAAAGGAGAAAATCCATAAAAGTAATAAAGATTAAAATTTTTAAACACAAAAACTCTTCTAACATTTTGATTTTACATTCTAGACACTCTAATAAATAAACATTGTAGATGAAACATGATGCGGTTCATTTTTGTCTTTCAGTATCACTTACAAATGTTGGTTTTTACCAGTGAGGCGAAATAAGAAATAGATTTTATAGAATGTCAAATACCAAAATTCCATTTAAAGATCAAAGTTACATTACTATCAAAAGCATTTGACTTTATAGCTTATAGGCGTGAGCGATTTCCTGAAAACCCTTCGGAGATTGGTCCAAGGAAGTCCCCTTCAAGGGTACCCAATGTATGTAACTCCCTCTGTGCTTCCATCCACTTCGTCGTGATCACCATAAATCTAACCATAGTCCCTTCCTAAATCCTTGACATTTTCTCATTCATGAAGATCGGGTTTTTTCCTGGAACAAACTTGTAATCTAGCATCTTCATATAGGAGATGTAAACATTCTTTACCGGACCACACCTCAAGTAGATACCATATTTGTACACCTTGTGCACCACACCATGAAGAATCTGTCCTGACTCAATCTGCATTGAACCCCTGAAGATAATCTGCATGGTACCACAACGTTGGTTGGCATTTGGTACATGTCTAATAATTGATAATGAAAAGAAAAAGCAAGAAAAACAATTATTGACAATATTTTCAAGAGCAGCACTCATTCCTCGTATATATAGACAACACGACAGTCTGAGAACATTGAAAACAACAACAAAAATAGATACTTACAAGCAACGAAGAAGATAATGAATATATTTTTTGTGACTCACACTAATTCGTCATAAGTATAATTCCTCAAAACAGTATAAAATTCATCAAATATATAAGGGTTTGACCAGTCCAATTTCCAAAACTCTTCTTAATTATAATTGATATGAATAATGCAATTTTCAAAAGAGTAAGTTAGGTTGATAAACATTGTTGACTATTATTAATTTTTTTTGGGGTCAAATTTAGCTTATTAGTTTTCATACTTAGTTCACCAGTTAAAAATTTATTTTTATTTTTTGATAGCATTTAATTTTTTTCTGTTAGCTACCTTCTTAATTTTTTTAAATGTCAGTGGTATCTACTTACTTTTTCAATCTTCTACTTCCCCTTCAAGGGTACCCAATGTATGTAACTCCCTCTGTGCTTCCATCCACTTCGTCGTGATCACCATAAATCTAACTGTAGTCCCTTCCTGAATCCTTGACATTTTCTCATTCATGAAGATCGGGTTCTTTCCTGGAACAAATTTGTAATCTAGCATCTTCATGTAGGAGATGTAAACATTCTTTACCGGACCACACCTCAAGTAGACCCCATATGTGTACACCTTGTGCACCACACCATGAAGAATCTGTCCTGACTCAATCTGCATTGAACCTGTGAAGATAATCTGCATCGTACCCACGTCATTTGTTGACATTTGTTACATGACTAATAATTGATAATGAAAAGAAAAAGCAAGAAAAACAATTATTGACAATATTATCAAGAGCAGCACTCATTTCTCATATATATGGATAACACCACAGCATGAGAACATTGAGAACAACAGGAAGAATAGATACTTACAAGCAACGAAGAAGATGATGGATATCTTTTTTTGTGACTCACTGGTCCTAAGTATAATTCCTCTAAACAGTATAAAATTTTTCATATATATAAAGGTTTGAGCAGTCCAATTTCCAAAACTCTTCTTAATTATAATTGGTATGACTAATGCAATTTCCAAAAGAGTGAGTTAGGTTGATAAACATTGTTGACTATTATTATTTTTTTTGGGGTCAAATCTAGCTTATTAGTTTTCTTACTTAGTTCACCTGTTAAAAATTTATTTTTGTTTTTTGACAGCATTTAATTTTCTTTTTCTGTTAGCTACCTTCTTAATTTTTTTAAACGCCAATGGTATCTACTTAATTTTTCAATCTTCTACTTATTTTTTTTTAAAGTTAAATAATCCAAAATAAAGAAGATACATTTGGTAAAAAAGTTTTTCTCATTCTTACAAAAGTAATTAATTGGTCAACTAATCTATAAAAACTAATAAACTAGTCAACAATGTTTATATGCTAACTTAAATAATTCTTTTAGAAATTTCATTATTTAAGTCAATTATAATTAAGGAGAGTTTTGTAAGTTGCACCACTCAAATCTTTCTAATACTTATGAAGAATTTTAGAAATTACACAGCTCAGAGCAACTATGGGATGAAGTAGTGTGAGTCACATAAGGATATTACTAATAATATAACAAAATTTTATAACAAAATTAACATGATAAAATTTATCATAACGAATCATATAAAATTATAATATGAACAATAAAACCTACGAATTACACAAATTTGTAACGTATATAGATTCACATTGATAACACATATAACCAATTAACTAATTTGGCATAAATTAATTTTCATATGAACTTTTAAAATTTATTAGGTACCAAAAATAAAAAATCTCTAAATCACCAGAATTAAATCGACTTGCAGCTTATGATTTTTTGGCGAGATATGAAAGACAAAGAGGGAGAAGAAAGAGAGCGATGATGGTTGGAGATCCAAGACAATTCTTACTACGACAGATAGTTAGAGACCAAAGATTGATGTTGGTTTTAAATGCTCTGTATTTCTGATGGAAACATCTAGCACCAACATTGTCTTTACTTTCTCTCCTTTCCAATATATATTGTTAGTGGGTTTTTTTCCGTATTTCTCTTCCGGAAATCTCAAAATTTCCAGCAAATAAAGTTCAAAAATTTGACCAAGATATGTGCTTCTTCACCAGATTGAGTGCTAAATTGAACAGAGGGAATCAAGAGAAGGTAAAAAACAGATGTGTTTTGTAAAGACGAATCAATACGGAGAAAATGAGAAATAGAGAGGAACAAACGGTACTGGAAACGAAAGGCAAAAAAAAAGAGAAACATAAAATTGGAAAAGAGTAGGGTAAAATTGAGAAGAAAAATTTTGCTCTATTACTTAGCTACATAGTAAAACATCATTTTAATATATACTAGGTTTTGGATTCGCGCCATGCACAGGCCATTGAATCGTAATAGTTTATGTGTTTAAAATTATTTGGGCCATTTGCTATAATTTATTTTATACAAAAACAATTTCAGCCTACTCAATAAACTTTTTGTTGTTTTAGTTTACCAACAAAAAATGTTGACGGACGACATGGCAGATAAGAGGAAGTTCTGAGTTTGCATGTCGAAGAGGTAGAAGTTCTAATCAACAATTGCAGACTCCAATTAGTTGATAAGAAGAGTGAAGTGGTCGAGATCCATAGTTGGTACATCTCCCAAACCATCTCTGGGTTCGTATCTTTGAAGCTTAAATTGTTGGCGATGGATGCGAGCATTCATATCACACCATATAGAATTGATCGTAAGCCGAGTAGTGTTAGACGTCTGTTTGACTGCTGAAGCTCGGACAGCCAAGAATCCTAGCTACGACGTGTAAGAAGATGAAAACAAATACCAATCAGCTCCCAAATCGACCAACTGAGAGGGCCATCGAAGATTAGGTGGTTCCCCTTTCAACGGATTGATTCCAAAGCAGACATTCCGGAGAAGTGTTAAGAGTTAAGACCTTAACTGCTAATTCTTGATTTGGTGGAGCATCTCCGCTGCAACCGTAGGATATTATCTTTGGATCCTTCCACAAGTTCACCTATTACATATATTTTGAGTTTTTAGTAAAAATGATATACGCTAACATTGGATTATGTCTCATTTTTCTAAGTATTATTTTGATATGAAGTAGAGACAAAATTTCTTCTTTCTGCAGATTCATATATGCTATGAAATTTGTTTTTGGAAAACAAAGCTAATGTGAAATAAATCCAATGGAGAAGCTCATTTTGAACTTTCACAATTTTGGAGATAAAACGTTAAATTGTTAAAAACAGTCGTGATCACAAACTAATTAAAATAATTTTGCTGACTAATTTCATCATTCGTATGACATTGAGTTTAATGCATTAGAACACTTTCTCAATTACAACCAAGATCATGGTGTTGGTAAAGAGTAAGAGTTCTTTACATTGAAAGATTAGTTAGAATAGATACAAAGGAGTAATCTGAAAAATCTCATGCAAGTCACTACAGTAGAAATATACTTCATATTCCCATCTTGATTCTACTGTTTGTCAAATTCCCAGCTTGCTGAACCTAATCTAAGAAACTTATTGACTCTAGTCTTGGGACGTCCAAGGTGTGGTAATTGTCTTTTTTTGTATGACTACGAATTTCTTCTTTGACAATTCCTTTTATTCTCCAATGTTTTATAGTTCATTGTCATTGTATATGCTTCGGTGCACATAGGAGTAGTCTGAATAATCTACAAAGGCAATAAACTCACCCTTCGATGGTTATGAAGTACAAAGGTAAATTACTTAACTCTAGTTATTTGAAACTGAGTAAAGATATGAGTAGTAAATCACAAAGACACAATCTTATATAAGATATGTTAAAGAATGTATAGGTTTACAACCGATAATTATATTAGCCATAAAATTAAAACTAAAGATATAAATAGAATTCATAAGAAAAGTATTTTGATGGTTTTACCTTGGGACTCGATTAAACCCGTAGATGTATACTTGATGAAAACAAATTGTATTAGGTCCTGTTAGGCTTTTTAATAGACAAAACAAAAACAAAAATATTGAGCAGATTTATTGATGCCAGTTTTTTAAGGAGCTGATCTATAATAATAACCATTGAAACCAAAAAGAAATGAAGAGTTTATTTTTACTGGTTTTGGGGAATTTGCCTCATTGTGTTGCTTTGTTCTCTCACTTGCATGGTTTTTTTCTTTACATATGTGTATGATATATCTGTAAAAACCAGAAGACCTTATAAAAGTTATTATAAACAAATATTTGACAATAATAAATTTTGAGAATAAACTAATAATAGAAGACTGCATAATTGAGAATGATGAAAAGTACAACTTACCTAGGAATCATAGAGAATTAACTCTCATTCTACATGAGAATTTTTGTGAAAGCTTTGAAAATATGAGGAAGATCGATGAGTGATGATTGTGAGATATGGATGCTCTCTATTATATAGAATAGAACACGAAGGAATTAGTTGGTTTTGTTTGCAGATTTCTTGTTAAGATTTGAAACAAATAGTTATAAAATATTGTGTTTGTTGTGCATGATTTGTTTTGTAGTTAAGATTTCAATATTTACTTGCCTCTTGCTGTAAAAATCGTTTCTGTTATGGTAACTATTTGATGTAAAAAAAATTCAAGGGGATTTTTTTAACATATTTAGATTTATGTGGTTAAAAATTCCCATAAATTTTGCTAAAAATAAGATCCGAATGTAGTAGTGTACTGCTAAAATATTTTTTGAGAAACACTAATTTGTTTATTTTTTTTATAAAGGAAAACACTAATTTATTCGGGTATATTTGTTTATGGTTAACTAAAAACAGAAAATTTATATGAGTATTTAGAATATCCTTCGGTTTATGTGAATATCCAATTTTTTAATGATTTGATAATCGCATCTAGTAATTGTGATACCATAACCATGATTTCTGTGATTTCTTTTTTAAAACAAATGATTTTATTGTTTGATATGTGTGTTGGATTTTTCAAAAATGTAGAATGGTTTTGTTTAAAACCGAGATAATGATAAACCAATTGAATTAGTATGATTTGAATCCGGTTAAGAGACATTCAGATTCGAATTGATAATCGGAAAACTCACTTTATCTGCATTACTGATCATGATTGATCTAGTTGAAGTGTTTGAATTCGATAATTTCTGATATGTGAGAAAATATGCTATACTTTCATACAAAATATAGGAAGATTTAAAAGATAAATTATCGCGTAGGAGGTTGCATCATTTTGATTCTTCTCCCACAAAACACTATAATAATCATGATCCTCTTTTTCATAGATCTTCTCTATCTCCATGCTTGATGACGATTACTGAAATATGATTATTATTTTATTGATCATCTATTATAGTTTATTGTAATTGCAGGTTTACATAAATGCCGACCAAAGAGTATGGTGAGGTTAATGGAAGTATAAAGGAATCATTTAATTAGTGTATTAGGTAAAAATATTATAATTTCTTATTCATGTATATGATTAGTTAAATAGGATTATTCGAATAGGGATGCAAAACCTGATTATTAAAATAGTTTAAAATACTCTCTTCGTGAGATTTCTAGAGAAAACTAAAATACCAATGGCATATCTTATAAACAACACAGTAGGTAAATGTTACTTTAAATTAATGATTTTCTTTTAATAGTATAGATAACTAGGAGCAGGTCTGCGTATTGCACAAATTTATGATATTTAATTATGTTCATCTTATAATCTATTTTATAATATTTGTTAGTACATGTTATAGGTAAATACTAGTTACAAATTTGTGAATATCATCT